CCCCCCCCCCTTTAAGGATCCTGAAAACACGATCCAAGACATCACGGACCCTGGCACCTGGGAGGCAACACACCAACCACGAGTCTCTCCTGTTCCCACAGAATCTCCTATCTCTCCCCCTAACTATGGAGTCCACAATGACTAATGCTCTCCTCTTCTCCCCCCTTCCCTTCTGAGCAACAGGGACAGACTCTGTGCCAGAGACCTGTACCCCATGGCTTACCCCTGGTAAGTCGTCCCCCACAACAGTATCCAAAACGGTATACTTGTTATTGAGAGGAATGGCCACAGGGGACCCCTGCACTGTCTGCCTGTTCCCTTTCCGTCCCCTGACTGTAACCCATCTACCTTTTTCCTGTACCCGAGGTGTGACTACCTCCCTGTAACTCCTCTCAATTACCCCCTCAGCCTCCCGAATGATCCGAAGGTCATCCAGCTCCAGCTCTCTAACACGGTTTCCGAGGAGCTGGAGTTGGGTGCACTTCCCTCAGATGAAGTCAGTGGGGACACTAGTGGTGACCCTTACCTCCCACATTCTACAGGAGGAGCATGCAACTGCCCTAACATCCATTCCCACTGTTTTGAATTCTGAAAAAACAAAAAAAACTAGTAACCTTACCAAATCGGCGCTCAGAACCTTTTTTTTTGTTTCGAGGAGCAGCTTGTGTGGGAGACACTACCCAAGTAGTGTTTCGGGTAAAGCAACCGCCCAAATATATAACCTCACTTACTCAGCTGTTGGATCTGACCTTGGGTCGTTTCAACAGGAGTTCAAATTATAATCAATAAAACCAAGGCAGGATTGCCATAAGCCACTCAGGAGACCTGAAGACAGGTTTTAATGAATTATCATCTATTATTCAAAGAATGTAATATTATTCAATTGGCCTTACATTTTGGGACTGTAAGCTGAAATGCAGAAAGGAGAGCTAAAGCCAATTCATTTTGAACCTACTAGAAGACCCTAACTGGATTTCAGAAGTCAGACTTTTGGCTCTTTCCCTTGTCAAAGTAATCTTTTGAATATTCAACCAAACTTTTAGCCCATGTGTGGACCAAAAAGGAACTAAAAAGACCCCCTGACACCTGATGGCATAAATAACACTGTCAAGTGTCACAATGTAAGTTAGAGTCAATGTATAAATGTCAATTTAGGTAGTACAAATTCAAATAATTTAGCAGTACAGAACTCCATTAGTACTGAAAAAGCTTTTCATCTTGCTCTGATCAGAATAATTTGCAAAAAAACCTAAACAATGTGTAAATCATTGAGACGAATGGCTTACATACACACTGGCACTGAATTTCATATATCACACTACTCACTTTTTGTGACAGGCAGAATGTCATTTTGGCAGCATTCTGTTCGTGGCAAACATGTGTTGCTACTGTATAGTTACAACATGAAACTAGTAGATTCACCTGTTGCTCAAACCTTTGAGCCATCTCATTCTTTGACTGTAACAGGGGGAAGTTGGACAAAAAAAAACTGGCTATGCCAGCAATGTCCATATCCAATGAAAGAAATTTTAAAAATGACTGTATTCCCTGGTGTTGAACAACCTATTTTAGATCATAGAATCATAGAATTCCTACAGTGTGGAAACAGGCTCTTTGGCCCAACAAGTTCACACCGACTCTCAGAACATCCCACCCAGACCCACCCTGCCATAACCCACCTAATCTACACATCCCTGAATACTACGGGCAATTTAGCATGGCCAATTCACCTAACCTGCACATTTTTAGACCGTGGAAGGAAGCCGAAGCACCCAGAGGAAACCCACACAGACATGGGGAGAATGTGCTGTGGGCCACACAGGCAGTCGGCCAAGGCTGGAATCGAACCTGGGTCCCTGGTGCTGTGAGGCAGCAGTGCTAACCACTGAGCCACCGTGCCGCCCCTATTTGAGCTGTGTGAATTGATTCAAAGAGTTGATGGGGTAAAAATGCAGAAACAAGTTCCTTTGAGAGCAAAATCCACAACAAGGGCCGATGTCATCTTAAAATCGGACCAGGCTGATCAGGGAGAATGTCAAGAAGGGCCTCTTCACACAAAACGTATTGGAATTCTGTAACTCTTTTCCTCACAAAACAACTGGTGAGGCTGATGGGGTCAGTCAAAATTTGAAACTGGTTGTTAGGCAAGGGTTGTAGAATCCAGCTGGGCAAATGGAAGACAAAGCTCATCCATGATCTAAATTAACGAAGGAACAGGTTTGCGGGACTGAATGGTCACCTCACCATTTCTATTTGACGTGACATATTCCAAAGAGGAGTTTGACCCTGTGGTCTGCTGCTTTTGCATGGAAGATAACCAAATGAAAATGTGTGAATACTGGAGTCTTACATAGCATAGGAAGAAGAACTTGCAAAATCAAAATTCTATCTATAATGATTAAGGTAAAACAGCCAAATCCATTTATTAGAATTCTAGCTTAGTCTGCAATCTTCAATCATACAATACAGAAGATCTCTGTACAGAACTCACTTGTTTCAACTGCTGTTTTGCTGTGTCCATCACCACTACTCTGGAGCTCATCTATAGGAGCAGAATTTGTTTCCATAGATACAGGAGAGTTTGTTCGCAAACGTCCAGAGGGCCTGAAAGAAATAATATTCTGATTAACTGAAGCCCGGCTGGGGATGACTGCTGCCAATTTGCCTCAAAATTGCCCTCGGGGTTTCCACTGCTGTTTTACGGGCTGTTATTCCTTCTTCAGAGACAGTGAATGCACAGCCTCTGGGCTATCAAAGTAACGGCAAAATTAGTTCAAAATCAGCACGGCCTCAGGCCCAGATCCAACTCGGGCAGTTAATTTGAACCTCGTCTTGAGGAAGTACCTTTTTTCTCCCTTTTGCCCACACATCTCCCTCCATCCACCCCAAACTATATTCATTCCCTCCTCGCCCCAAAAACAGGCATATACTGGGCAATAGGCCAACGGTAAGCCCTTCTCCAACCTCACTAAAATGGACCATTCCACATGTGTAAATCAATGACGGTAGGGACAATATTTGACTGTTGAAACGTTGGTGGGTCAGGAGCCAAGATAGGTTTAGAGAGCACAGGCATGATGGGTGAAAGGGGTAATTTGAGATGAACCAGAAGCAGAGGTCTGGATCAAGTCAAATTTATGGAGAGTGGAAGGTGGAAGTTAGCTCAGAAAATATTGGAGTATTTGAATCTGGAGACACCAGAAGTACAAACGAAGGAATTAGCAGGTCACAAATGAAAAATGGACAGGAGATTGGAAGTTCTGCTCAATTCCTGTACCACACTGCCATTCATGAGGAGAAAGGTTCTTATTCAGGAACTTGCCAAAAGGCATAGAGACTGACTTAAGGTAACTGGTAAGACAGTTGGAGGGAACAAAATGTTTGCAGAAGCCGGTGGTTGTTTGGAATTTGCTGCCCAGTTTGGTGGTTGAGAGGAAACCGTCAACTCATTTAAAAGGTACTTGGATCTACACTCAATGCGCTGCAACACGCAAGACTATTGATATGGTGTTAGAAAGTGGGATTGGAATGGGCAGCTAGGCATCTCACAAATATGAGGGACTGAATGGTCTCTTCCTGTCCCATAACTTTTCTATGGTTCTACATTGACTGGGTACAGCTCTGAGACTTACACACTACAAGGCAGAGCAAGATTGCCAACCTGTGCAAAGTATGAGCTTCTTAGCAGCTGATGGGATGAAAGGAAAGGTGCAAATTGACGCATTCAGTTTTTAACAAAAACAAAAAGTTGCTGGATAAGCTCAGGTCTGGCAGCATCTGTGAAGAAAAAAATCAAAGTTCATCAATTCTGAGGAAGGGTCACCAGACCCAAAACGTTAACTGATTTTTTGCTTCACAAATGCTGCCAGACCTGCTGAGCTTTTCCAGCAACTACTGTTTTTGTTCCTGATTTACAGCACCCGCAGTTCTTTTGGTTCTTATTTTGCATTCAGTCTTTATCGAGTTGGAAATGCAGGGAGATATTGGGGGAGAGCAGAACATGGTACAATCGTGACTGACCATGGAATCAATCAATCAGCCGATTGTATGATCTAGACTTACATGTAAAGAACTTAGTGACCTTTAAAGGACAGTTAATTTGGTTTTAGTTTTCAAGTTTAAAAAAAGAGGGTACACAATGAAAGGTCATTAATACAGGGGTTACCCTGCCTACGCATGAGTCAGTCAGTCCTTCCAAGGAGGAAGAGAAGGGGCATTAAATAAACTCGAAACAGACTGTTTTCTCTCCATGGACGCTGCCAGATTTGCTGAGTTTCTCCAGCTTTTCTGTTCTTCAGATTTCCAGTATCTGCAGTTCCCTTTTTTTCTCGTTAAAAGGAAATAATAGTTTATTTTCGTAGTTGTATTTCCTACCCTGCCTGGGAGGCAAAGCTGGCAAACACTGCCCATCCTTCTATTGGGGGTGGTGATGTAGCAGATTCGGTGTTGTCCCAAGCGCTAAATCCAGCATCTGCAACACTCTGACTGGCATCTGTATTTGCCATAGGTACAGCATCAAAGTTTGCTGTCCAACCAGCTTCTGAAAGTCAAATTAAAACTTCAATAAGAAACAAGTATATTCATATTGTACTTTTTGTGACCACTTTACATCTCAAAGAACTTTACAGGTAAGAAAATACTACTGAAGTACTGAACTGCATTAATGCAGGAAACAGTAAGAATTGTACTAAAAACCGTTTCCTCAATGAAAATCAGTCTGACTGAACTAGAACTTCTCATATTCAATCCCCCATTTCCAGCAGCAGTAGTAAGGTAATTTAACAGTCTCAAGTCCAACAGATGGATGCACATTACCCTAAAATGGCTTCAGAGAATGTGCAAATATGTGCATAATGTTTAATAAAATGAATGCATGAATATATATCTTTCGTATATACAATAGGTTCATGAATTACATGCATAATTGCACACTTGTGTAACAACTTGTACTTTGCCAAGAACCTAATTTAAAGACCATGTGTGCATGCCCATACCAGTCGATGGCATGCTGGGCTCAGTTCTGGCTTCAGTAAATGGTCTTTTGGAATTACCTCTCTCTCCAAAGGCACTGAAATGTCAACTTCGATCAGCAGTATTAATGATGAGATCCTTATTTGTCCTTCCTGTGGCTCGCATGTCCTGCTTGCCTCTTCCCTCCCCAACCATACCACCTCCCCGCCTGCCTCCCTAACCCTCCTGCTCCCGCGGCTATCCATCTTGCAAACTCTCCACCCAAATGTCCTCTCCACTCCCTGTCTACCTCTCACTTGCAGCCCCATCTTGCTTCCTCACCCACTTTGTCCTATTGGCTGCTCCCCTCCTAAATCCTCGCTTACGACAAAGTCTTCGGGAGAGAAGTGGCGTGCGTTGAGTGGCCGGGGGTCGACAGAGAGGCATGCAGGAAGGTCAACGACGGAAAGGATAATAGGGAAGACCAGCAAAGTGAACCAGCAAACAGTATGGTCAGTGAGGCTAACAAGCCAGGAGCTGCAGTGAACTGACGGCAGGTATTGGCGAGCAGAAGACAGTTAAAGATTAGTAGTTATTCAGAGTCAGTAACAGTCGGTATGCAAAGCAAGTTAAGATTTTAAGAAACTGGAACAGGATTCTTGTATGAATTAGATTTAAAAAAATGACAGATCAGGAACATAATACTGACTACATGTTTTCTTTATGTTTAGTGTGTGTGTGCGCTTTTTTAAGGAACACATCAGGAGTGCTATATGACTGACAGTTGACTTTTAATAAGTTATCCTCAATGTATATCAAAGTTTGGTTAGTTCACATATTTCATAATCTTTTGAAGAAATAAGCCACAAACAATTCATAAATCAATTCTGAGTGTTTTTATTTCTACCTGATCTGGGAGCTTTTGAAGCAGATATTAAGCCCCTTGAAATGAAAGGAGTCCATTCACCACAAACATTCCTTATCTGGATAGGTGCAAAAACAAAGCAAAATGCACAACTGTTCTTGCAGTATGGGGCAACTTGTGTTCAATGAAGAAATGTCCAAAATGGGTGAAAGTCTCCCACCATCCTCTCAATGCTTCAGTAGAACATTTCTTACAGAAATAAATGAGCCATAAGTGATCAATAAAATTGGTACTGGCTTTCTAATTTACAATGGTTTCCTTGCACCAGCTGCATCATCTTCAACAAAGCCTCCGATCCAGGGGCCCAATGAGAAGCTGCCACTGGAAACAATAGTTTGATTACCTTGAAAGAAATCAAGTCAAAACCTCAGCATTCACTCACCTTTATGGGGGTCCAAGTCCACCTTCTCATCTGCAGGCTTAATGGTGCTCTGTCCCCCGTCCTCATCATCATCCTCTTCAGAGTCTCTGCTTCCTTCACTGTCTGTACTGCCAGAGCTTCTGCAACAGACACACAAACGAGAGTAAGCTGTGGTGTTTTTGCGAGTCACTTCTGTGTGTTTCAGGCGGTAATAGTGACAGATTAACTGCTGCTAAATTTGGAATTTTGACTGTCCAGGTGGTTCAAACAGATGCATGGGAGGGTAAAGTTGACCAGAAAGGCCCAGAGATGCTCACTATCTGTACTGGGCTAGGTGATCTCAGGGGAGATGTCGGTTCTGCAGTGCCGGAGGTGCAGAAAAAGAAATAAAAAAATCAGTTTCCTATTAATTATCAATATTGTGTTAGAAATGGATTATGAATGAATACTTGCTTAGCCAAGATGCACTTGTATTGTAAAATAACCTTTCTTAAAGTTATTCTTCTTGTGGATGGGGGAATCATTGGCTAGGCAAGAATATGTTGCCCATCTCCAAATGCGCTTGAGTTGCTCGGTAGGTCATTTCAGAGGGCAGTTCGGGTCAATGACATTTCTGAAGGTTTGAAGTCACATGTAGGCCATACTGGTTAAAGATGGCAGATTTCCTTCCCTAAAGGGCATTAATAAACTGCAAAGACAGTTACATGGCCTTGGTTTTTTAATTTCAATTTTTTATATAAATCAATTGAGTTTAACAATTTATATAAATGATTTGGATTTTTAAAAAATTCACAGGATGAGGGCATTGCTGACCAGGCAGTATTTATTGCCCATCCCCAATTGCCCAGGCAGTTAAGAATCAACCACATTCTTGTGGGTCCGGGATCACATGGAGGCCAGACCAGGTAAGGATGTCAGTCTCCTTCCCTAAAGGACATTAGTGAATCAGATGGGTTTATCCAACAATGGATTCATGGTCATCATTAGATTCTTAATTCCTGATATTTATTGAATTCAAATTCCACCATCTGCCATAGTGGGATTCGAACCCAGGTCCCCAGAACATTATCTGGGTCTCTGGATTAACAGTTCAGTGATAATACCACTAGGCATCACTTCCCCATATGAACATAGGAGGCATGGTTAGTAAGTGGGCAGATGATACAAAAATTGGTGGCATAGTAAACAGCGTCAGAGTACAATGGGATCTTGATCAGATGGGCCAATGGGCCGAGGAGTGGCAGTTGGAGTTTAATTTAGGTAAATGTGAGGTGCTGCATTTTGGAAAAAGCAAATCAGGGCAGGACTTGTACACTTGATGGTAAGGTCCTGGGGAATGATGCTGAATGAAGAGACCTTGGAATGCAGCTTCATAGTTCCTTGAAAGTGGAGTCACAGGTAAACAGGATAACGATGAAGGCGTTTGATACGCTTGCCTTTATTGGTCAGTGCATTGAATATAGGAGTTGGGAGGTCATGTTGAGGCTGTACAGGACACTGCTTAGGCCACTTTTGGAATACTGCGCTCAATTCTGGTCCCCCTGTTTTAGGAAGGATGTTGTGAAACTTGAAAGGGTTCAGAAAAGATTTACAAGGATATTGCCAGGGTTGGAGGGTTTGACCTATATGGAGAGACTGAACAGGCAGTGGCTATTTTATAAAATCATGAGGGGCATAGATAGGGTGAATAGCCAAGGTCTTTTCCCCAGGGTAGGGGAGTCCAAAACTAGAGGGCACAGATTAAGGGGAGAAGGGGAAGATTTAATTGGGACCTAATTGGGGCAACTTTTCTCATGCAGAGGGTGGTACGTTTATGGAATAAGCTGCCAGAAGAAGTGGTGGAGCTGGAACAATTACAACATTCAAAAGGCATCTAGATAGGTACATGAATAAGATGTGTTTAAAGGGATATGGGTCAAATGCTGCCAAATAGGACTAGATTAATTTAGGATATCTGTTGGGCATGGATGAGTTGGATTGAAGGGTCCGTTCCCATACTCTATGACTAATTAACTGAATTTAAATTCTGTCAACAGACAAGATGGTAATTGAACCCATCCCCTGGGGACCAGCCCAGGCACTGGATTACTTGCCGAATGATACGACCACCACGCTAAAGATTCCCCACTTTCTAAGTTCACAGAGTTTGGAGGATTTATTAAATGCAGCTTGTGGAACTGTACCGTACTGGAAAGCAGAGGGCAAGAAACTGCTCTCTGATAAACCCCAATGCGTACCGTGGCACACGTGGTGCATCTGTTGCAAAACGCAGATCCTTTTCTTGCCAAACATCATCTTCATCTGAGCCTTCATCATCGTTGAACTGCCGTATTCGCTCCTTCCAACACTCCTCAAACAGATTTGTGTTTGGCTGAGAAGCAAGAAAGAAAATTAGCCCTGCACTCGAGTTTTGAAATCACTCTGAAATCATGCTTGTTGTGAAATTATAATTCACAACAATTGAGGGTAGATCTCGTCATAAATTCTCTCATTCGCCCATGCCAGCAGAGTTACAAAACTCTCTCAAACAATCCAATTTGTCTGCATGTGTGTGCGGCATATCTGAGTCAAAGAACTGTGCAAATTATTTTTGCAGTATCACAAAGAATTAAAAAACATAATTTATACTTACACTGTCACTGTTGGCATCAAAAACAAAGCTGATGTTAGCTGCTCTCTCAAATGGGGAACTGTTAATTAAATGGGAAACAAATGTCAACATTGATCTTTTGAAATGGGAAATGGCCTTTAACTTCTCAATCGTAGGGTAACAACTCAGTTAAAAATAATTCCTTTACAACTTTTGAATGCAAGGATATGTGCCTACTGAGTGTGCATGTGAAACCTCGCAACTGCTGGCAATTCCTAACTAGTAACTTCATACCTGCATGTTTCAAAAGTCACAGCATCTTACAATAGAGGAACAGCTCACTACGTTTTTTTCAAGAAGTGACTAAGAGGATTGAAGAAGGCAGAGTGGTGCAAGTATATATGGACTTCAGTAAGGCGTTTGACAACATTCTGCACGGTAGATCACATGGAATACAGGGAAAACTAGCCACTTGGATGCACAACTGGCTTAAAGATAGGAGACAGAGGGTGGTGGTAGAGGGTTGCTTTTCTGACTGGAAGCCTGTGACCAGCAGTGTGCCACAAGGATCGGAGCTGGGTCCACTGCTTTTTGTCATTTATATAAATGATTTGGATGTGAATATAGCAGGAATGTTTAGTAAGTTTGCAGGTAACACCAAAATTAATGGTGTAATGGACAGCAAAGAGGGTCACCTCAGAGTACAACGGGATCTTGATCAGATGGGTCAATGGGCTGAGGAGCAGCAAATGGAGTTCAATTTAGATAAATGTGAGGTGCTGCATTTTGGAAAGGCAAATCACGGCAGAACATATACATTTAATGGTAAGGTCCTGGGGAGTGTTGCTGTTGTTGGAGTGCAGGTTCACAGTTCCTTGAAAGTGGAGTCGCAGGTTGACAGGATAGTGAAAAAGGTGTATGGTAGGCTTGTCTTTATCGGTCTGTGCATTGATTATGGGAGTTGGGTGGTCATGTTGAGGCTGTACACATCAACGGTTAGGTGACTTTTTGAATACTGCATTCAATTTCCCATGGAAAGATGTTGTAGAATTTGAAAATATTTACAAAAGGTTGTTGCCAGGGTTGGAGGGTTTTACCTTTTGGGAGGCGCTGAATAGGCTGGAGTCATTTGCCCTGGAATGTCGGAGGCTGAGGGGTGACCTTATAGAGGTTTACAAAATCATGAGGGACATGGATAAGGGTGAATAGCCCAGGCCTTTTTCCCCTGGGTAGGGGAGTCCAAAACTAGAGGGCATGGGTTTAAGATGAGAGGGGAAAGTTTTAAAAAGGGACTTAAGGGGCAACATTTTTACGCAGAGGGCGGTGTGCACATGGAACAAGCAGCCAAAGGAAGCGGAGGAGGCTGGTCAATTACAACATTTAAAAGGCATCTGGGTGGGTGCACGAATAGGAAGGGTTTAGAGGGAAAAGGGCCAAATGTTGGCAAATGTGGCTAGACTAATTTAGGATATCTGATCTCATGGATGAGTTGGACTGAAGGGTCTGTTTCCATGCTGTACATCTCTATGACACTCTGTTTCAAGGTCAGAGGTATTGACCTGTCCTTTGCCCAAATCCTATTTTCATAATTTTCTTTTCCAAGATATTTCCCCATTTCTTTCTCAATTCTATTCCCACTATATAGGGTCCTCCGTGTCCTTGTAACACCGCATAATCTTCTCAACTCTTGCTTTTCATTTTTAAAATTATGCCCTCTAGTCATTAACCTAGCATAGGATAAACTTTATTGGCTAGATTTAGTGCAGAATATCGCCAAATGCATATGTTCAATCCCCATACTATTGAAAGTAGCTTTTCAGGCCTAACACCTAGCCTTACCCCACATAATACAATGGCATAAGAACGATTAAGAACTCTTGGTCAAGGATACGATAGTTGAAGTGTGCGACTATGTCGCTAGTAATTGGAAACAGTTCTTCCCACTTAACCTTGTTAAACACCTCATACATGAGGGTTCGTTAGATCTCAATGTGCTTTAAATTAAAAGAGCTCCAGTTCCTCTCACCTTTCCTCAGCTAATCCTTCTCACCCTGGCAAACATCAAAGCAATGAACAAAAACAGAAATTGCCAGAAACATTCAATGAGTTCAGTTTTTCCAGCAACTTCTGTTTTTGTTTCTGATTTTCAGCATCCATAGACTGGAGGAGCTTTGAAACATGTGGTAGCCCCATTTGTATTTGCAGTTAAATAGAAGTAGCACTTGGGGGGCAGTTTGGAAAGTTGGGTTGAGACCACAACCTGACAAGGCACAATTTTATTGAATGGCAGAGGAAGTTTGAAGGGCTGTATTGGCCTAATCCTTTAAATCCCAAGTTGCTTCATAGCTTGGTCATTCAGAAGTTTAAGCTTCCAAGATGTTTCTAATAATCTGCACACAGTGCTCGCATATAACCTTTTCCAATTGTAATTTGCCCGATTCTGAAAACAAGTAGTTGCATCACCAGCAAACAGAACTTACTTCACACTTTCCTCCTGCTCAGCAAATTCCTCATCATTAAAGCCAAACTGATCGATGAATGTTGAAGTCATTTGTTGGATCTGGTAGTCTGAGAATGCCTGAAAATATACCACAAGTGATACATCCATCACTCAGAGCAAAGGGCAAGTGCCAAGCTTAGACACAAACCTGAGTTCCAAAACATAGGGACAATTTTTAAGACTCACGAAAGTGAGCGACAGAACAGAGGAAAGCAATGGTAAACGTTGCTGCTTATGTTAGACTGAAATTTTTTTTTTTCCTTTATTCATTTACGGGACAAGGGCGTCACTGGCTAGGCAGCACTTAGTGCCCCATCCTTAATTGCCCACAGGACAGTTCAGAGTCAACCACATTGCTGTGGGTCTGGAGTCACATGTAGGCCAGACCAGGTAAGGATGGCAGTTTCCTTCCCTAAAGGGCATTAGTGAACCAGATGGGTTTTTCCAACAATCTGCAATGGATTCATGGTCATCATTAGACTCTTAATTCCAGATATTTATTGAATTCAAATTCCACCATCTGCCATGGTGGGATTTGAACCCGGGTCCCCAGAACATTATCTGGGTGTCTGGATTAACAGTCCAGCGATAATACCACTAGGCCACTGTCTCCCCAACTCTGAATTGGTGGGACCAACTCCGAATTTGCCACACCACCCACCTGTCTCCAGTGTTAAATTTAATAATGAGGCCACCTACTCCATCGGTAAACATAAAGGCACCATAGTCCTACTGGACCACAGGGCTGCTCTCTCATTAGAGTGAGATAACTGGCGATGGTTTAACCTGAGGGTCACCACACCTCAGGCAAGGGGAGAGGTTAAGCAGGAGAATCATTCAACAGTAACCTCAGCCAGTGCAGCATCATGTTGCATCAGCAACCGACTGTCCAGCCAACGGTGCTAAGCGACCCTCATTAAACAGCACTCGAACAATCTCGAGGAATGGACAGTTTCAGGAAATTGATCCGTTAACAACTGGCAATAATTCACCCAGAGTTCAAGATAGTTATATAACACAACACTTTTCCATCCCTCAGAAAAGGGTCACAAAAAGAGAAGTAAAAACCACAGAAAGAGAAGAATGAGAGAGAAAGATAAACTCCATGCTGCTCCTAGTTCGTACCTGCTGTAGAACAGCCTCCTGCGGGAAGCTGAACTCCTTTAGATCATTCTCATCATCATCACTTGAGGAGTGCAGGTTCCGCATATTTACCTGAGCCACAAATGTTAAGTATCATTTATTGCAAAAACCAATATACCAAAGCTTTACAGAACACCATTTAAATCTCTCTCAAAAATATGCGCATATTAGTCAATCATTCTAAAAACACATGACTATCCTTATGACTCAGTACTGTGAATGTCCAAAGTTACTCCCAATGTCAGTGACTTTAACCATAGGATGCACAAGTTAGAAGAAAATGCTGACAAACTTATAGAGGATGTTACACCCTCAAACTATAGTGGAAAAGAGCAAAAATAGACTTTAAAAAAAACAGGCACAGCAATTTCTTGATACGTTGTGTTTAATACATCAGGTGGTGTGTACACGCCTGTTAGTAAAGACACTGTGTTGGGCCCTTGCTCCTCAAACCTCTCTTCCCACTCCCAATGCTTCCCTCAGGGCTACAGATAGGAGAGCAGCCAGTACAATATTGCCTTCATTTAGCCAATGACTTGCTTCTAGACACAATCAGCACCGCTAGTTTACTGGCTATCTGCTTATAGTGCCTCAAGTCTAATTTCATTGACCCTCTGGTGAATATATCCAACATGCTCTATCTAGTTCAGCCCTGAAAACAGGTGAAAATTAATCTGTCAATGTTACACTGTAAAATCAGTCTAAGATTTACTTTTTGTCAGCTGGATCAATACAATAGAATCAGGTAGCGTTCCTGCTCCTGAAACAAATGAAGTACTGAAAAAACTCAGGTGTGTGCAGAGAGAAACAGTGTTAATGTTTTAAGTCTGATAGGACTCTTCTCCAGATTCAAAGGGGACTGAAAATGGCATTTTCTTATACTTTTGACAGGGAGGAAAACAGATTGTGTCCCGGTCCCAATACAAAAGGCAAAGGAGTTGCAAACTGTGGTGAAACAGAAGTAGAGATGTAAGATGGATGCACATCAAAATGTGAAGAGGAGAAAATGGACTCTGTCTGCTGACAGCAAAGTAAACAAGACACAAACATGACAAGGCTGTTGGCGGAGATGGGTGGGGCGATGAATGCTAGAGAAATGGAGGACAGACATCATGCAGTCTGGCTCGGAGGTTGTGGAATTCAATGATGACTCCTAAAGGCTGCAAACTGCATAAGTGGAAAATGTGCAAACGTAAAATGACGTGTTGTTCCTCGAGCCTGTGTTATGCTACTGATTCAAATGCTAGCTGGAAGGAGCACTGTTTCCCTGCCAGTTAGCAAGGTGAGACAGAAGAGCAATTCCTGTAGAACATCAAGGCGCCCTGAACAAAAATGAAACCCTTGATCATCTTCAGCCAGAAGTAGCAATCCTTGGAGGCTGGCCAGTGGCTCTCAGCCATAATGCAAACTTACCAGATCAACAGTATTTTTCTTGTTCATTTCAGAGAGTGATCCTAGAACAAACTTGTCCCATCGCTCCCTCTCTTCATCTGGCAGTTCTGAAAAAAGACAGAAGTCAGTTATGTAAACTCTGCACACCATTAGCTGTCACAAGCTTCAGGGTCAGGGAAACTCAGCCAATTCCATTTGTCCTCTTTTAAGAAGCTCATTAGCCATTAATACCTGACATCACTCTTGTGTAATCTGGTATTAACCACTTGAAAATCGTGAGCAATTTGCAGCTTCTATCAATTCAAAGATCATTACCACCCACAGTGCCAATGTCAGCCACATGGGCATTCAACACTCAAATATCCAAAGTCAGAAATCACACGACACAAGTTTATAGTCCATCAGGTTTATCTGAAATCACCAGCTTTCGGAGTGCTGTTCCTTTGTCAGGTGACCTGACCTGAAGATCACCTGATGAAGGAGCAGTGCTCAAAACGCTGGTGATTTCAAATAAACCTGTTGGACTATAACCTTGTGTTGTGTGATTTCTGACTTTGTCCATCCCAGTATCTCCACATCACAAATATCCAAAAGTCTCCTTTCACTGGTCTTGGTGTCCACGAGAAGCACCTCACTGCCTGATAGAAAGGTATTGACCTTTGTGGAAACTGGCTTTTTCCAAGGGTGTTAGCAATGCTGACATCAGGGTGTATAATGTGAGCTGGTTTCAAGCTGGAATTCTTTGAGTGATTCTAACCCAGCTGATACATTTTTGAACTAAGCACACAGCAGGTCTGTATTCACCACAGTCAATTCACAGTCTGATATCAATAGTGAATCATTGTCTTTCACATCCTACTGGCTAAGTAACAAATTACCTTTGATCATCTGTGCTATTGAAGTGTGGTTAGGACCGTTTTCCGAGTTTTGTGCCATGGCGTTTGCTATTCTTGTTAAATGGCCCATGTAGCCTTTCCGCCTGCCACCTTCCGACCTAAATTAAGAAAAAGAATTCAACAATGATCTAGATCAGACTCTCACGTCATAAACATCTGCATCAAGCAACAAAAATTTCTTTCACAGTATGTGGGAAACGTATAGTGTCAAACCACAGAGCAAAAAATCCAAGATCTCAATCCAAACCAGCATTAGCTGATCTTAGCATGGCCAGCATCTGGGAGTACTCCTATTTTCTCACCGTTCCTTGACAACGAAAGGGTAAAGAAGTTTAAGATCCCACTCTCGACTTCTACCTGACGACAGAAGTATCCTGAAAAGCACTGCCTGCAAGCTCAGAAGCAGACCTCCTCTCATGCTGCACTACTGCATGGATAGAGGAGAAAACTTGTGGGGAGATAACTGAAGGATCGTGAGCAGACAGACAAGTTGTGGAAATTCAGATTAAAACAGCTTATCCATCTGTCACAGGGCTCAAAGTAACCGGCTCCAAAGAAGAGTCGTGTTGAATCATTAATTCTCCTACTTTCTCCATAGAAGCTGCAGATCTGCTGAGTTTCTCCAGCACTGGGTTTTTAGTCCAGATCTCTAGCATCCTCGGTATTTTGCTTTAGTTATTGAACATAACAGGCACTGCTTTACTACTGACCCACTGAAACCCAGAACCACTTACTGCTTTCTAGATCTGCATCGTTTATGTGCAATTCCATCTGTACACTGAGGTGTGACTGAGATAATGTTTCTCCAAGGCCCTATTTTTAGTTTTCCTTCCAAAACAGGTGCAAAAGCAATGAATTATTATTTCTTCAGAGAATCTGCATCTTCGCTCATGGTTTTACTTGACTTCAACATTTGGAAAATAAATCGTTCATTTTAACTTTTCTCCATGCCTCAAATCTCTCGTGTTGCAGGTTTGGTCATGTCGTTTGCCAGGCTCTATAACCAGAAGCTAGGAAACGAGTAAAAGCTCAAAATAATTATTTCTTTTCCTGGCTGATGAACAGGCAAACAAGGCATTCTAAACAAATAATATTATGGATTCTATCAGTGTGGTATTAATGTTACTAGAATCACAGAAATATTACAAGCAAAGGAAGAGGCCATTTGATCCATCGTGTCTGCACCAGCTTTGCCAAAAGAGCACTGTGATTTAAGGCTATACTCCTGTCTTTTCCCTGCAATGTTACACATCGTTTCTATTCAACCCATCATCTAATGCCCCTTGAATGCCACAACTGAACTTGCCTGCACTACATACTCAGGCAGTGCTTTCCAGAGCCAAACCACCGGCTGTGTGAAAATGTTTTATCTCACATCACAATTTCTCCTGCTACAAATCACTTTAAATCTGTGCCTCTTGTTCTCGATCCTTTTGGATGGGGGAGAATTTAAAGACACAAGTAAGGCGTTCAGTCAATGTGCTAGAGGGCAAGGGCATCCTTGGACGCAGCAGGTCCCCAGGTTCCTGATCTGATCTGTAATCCTTGCTGATCTAACTGAATTCAGCCAGGATCATCATTATCAGATCACAAACACAATGTGGGGTAAGACAGAGGTACACAGTTCCTTGTTCTGTCAGACATAATTGCAGGTGGCACAGTGGCTAGCACTGCTGCCTCAACGCCAGACAGTGGGTTCAATTCTATCCTCGGGCAACTGCCTGTGAGGTGTTTTCACATTTTCCTTAAAAGTAACAGGCTCCAAAGAGGAGGTACGTTGGACCATTAACTCTCCATTCTCCATAGAAGCTGCCAGATCTGCTAGTCTCTCCAGCACTTTGCTTTCAGTCCAGATCTCTAGCGCCCTCAGTATTTTGCTTTTGTTACTGAAAATAAACATGCAGTGCTTTACTATTGATCCAATGAAACCCAGAACCACGCTGTGTGGGTTTCCTCCAGATGCTCGGGTTTCCTCCTGCAGTCCAAAGATGTGCAGGTTAGGTGGAATGGCTTCACCCGTAGCGTCCATGGATGTGCAGGCTAGGTGGGTTAGCCATGGTAATATGTGGGGTTACAGGAATAATGGGGGTGGGGGTGGAAGTGGAAGTGCCCTTTGGAGGATTGGTTCAGACTTAATGGGTCCAATGGCCTTTTCCCACAATATAGGGAATCTATGGTTCTGATTCCAGCACCCACTCTGTGGGCTTGCCTGAAGGAAACCGCAGGGAGAACATGACAGCCCAGTAATGAGTGACCTTTGTAGTCAAAGCTCCCCAAGATAGTTGAACTGAGCAGACCAGTGGAACTGCTAGTTAAGCTCAGTTGTCCAGGTGGCTCACATGTGATTCAGCACATCCACAGTGCTCATCCTGAAGCCCTGACCGATCCCCGTTCCAGCCTAGGTACATGCCTTCTTGCCTTGTCCCATTGTAAAAGAGTGGGGGGTCGGGGGGGGCAACTCATAAATAATTGAGAATGCTACCTGAACAAAGAAGGTAAAGACTAGAAAATAAAAATAAGTAACTCCCCAGCAGTGTTTCACACGGCAAACGCATGGTAGACACACAAGGGAACCTGGCAGGCCTGGCCTGGAATCAAGGTTTCTGCAGATGAGAGCTGATTGAAGGGCAGTGTACAGAACCCCAGGCTGCTCCTTACACATGACTTCCGCTTCCTTCTATGCCAGGTATCCCTCAGATTTGTTGGATACTTACTGCACTCTTTCATTTTCTTCCCAGGCTGACACCACTCGGTGCAACAACCGGCACTTCTGGAACAGCTAGTTAAAAAGAAAAGCCACATAAGTGAGACTGAAGATATGATTTCAGGTTCCAATGTACACTGACAATACCCAATTTTACTGTACCACCACATCTCACGAACTCTTCGGTGCCTTAGTGTTGTCATCTGGCTTCAGTGAGCTGCAATTTTCCCAAATTATTCTTGGGGAAGAATGAAGCCATCATCCTGCCACAAAAATATTCCCTTACCATTGAATCCAACCCTCTCTCCATGACCACCATCTCAGGAAGAATCTAGAAACCAGGAAACAGTTTCAAAGACAGGGACCATTTAGGACTGAGATGGAGAGGAATTTCTTTACTCAAAAGGGAAGTAAACAACATTCCCTCTAAATATTTTCCCTGCTGCGCAGACCTCCAAGGCTGCTGGAAATGGAAACCAATTTGCTGGCACACCAATGGGCATGCACGGACCTTACAGGCAGCTGTATGTTCGCGCTGCCTGGAGGGAGCACTGGTGGTGAATATTTGGCATTCTCTACCTATAGGGCTGTGGAGGCTCAGTCATCGAGTATATTCAAGATAGAAATTGAAAGATTTGCAGATATTAAGAAGATATTAAGGTGTATGGGAATGGTGTATGGGAAATGACATAAATATAATATTTCCATTTGTACACAAACCCCTCCTAGTCTCACCATTCCATCTCTCCACAACCATATTCTACTCTCAATGCTACAAGTTGGTTCCCCAAACTCTGGTCTCATACCTGCAGTACAACTACAATGATTCAAAAAGGAAACTCACCTCTGGATTTTCAGAGGCAGTTATGGATGGGCAATAAATGCTGGCCTTGCCAATGATGCCCATGTCGCAGGAATAATCAAGAAAAAAAAAAATTGTGGAAGGTGCCTATTCACTAGTACATGTTACTTTTACACTCTATTCATGAGACTTACTAGGTTAAACTGATTACTGAAAATCATTTCACATTAGGACCTTTACAGACAGCAGGAAAAGGAAGCTTTAATCCCATTCAGTTTCGACTGGATTTGAATACGCCTCAGAAATTAAATGGCAGTATTGAACCTACTGTACCAAGCTTTCCTGACACATTCTAAAACTAAAATGCGCATCTCAACAAGAGTGCCAAAATTACATACATGCTTGATGAGTGGATTCTCACGGCGGGATTCGGTGCTGTTTTCGGTGTGATTTTCCGCATTGGTTTCAGTGCAATCTTCGGCTGGAGGGTTCCCCAATGCTGTGCTAATACACAGCTCCACTTGCAAATGGAGGAAATTATTCCACACATACTTGAAGTAGAGATCCTGGTGAGGCAGACCCATTAAAAAAATGGAGATTAGAGTTGAATTGTAAGAAAACACACACCAAGCAGGATGGTGACAACTCATCAGCTGGTTAACTTTTTTACAAAAATAACAGTTTCAATCTGCCATGATCTGCTGCTACTGTAGAAGATGACAATAGATTTATGATAAAGCATACATATAACATGTCCGCCACACACATTTCTCCGATCACCTTGAATATAATCACTGATTCTTTTCACATTCTTATGAAAATAACACTTTTTGAAATGTGGTTACAAAGAAACTTGCAGCCATACTTCTCAAATTACTCTATTCAGATTATAGTGTGCACCATAGCTGACCCTTGATGGGCAGCACGATGGCTCAGTGGCTAGTACTGCTGCCTCACAGCTATGGGAGCCAGGTCTGATTCCAGCTTTGTGTGGAGTTTGCACATTTTCCCCATGTCAACATGGGTTTCCACCATGCGCTCCAGTTTCCTCCCACAGTCCAAAGATGTGCAAGTTAGATAGACTGGTCATGCTAAATTGCCTAAAGTGTCTAGGTACATGCAGGTTAAGTGGGTTAGCCATGGGAAATGCGGGGTTATGAGGATACGGTGGGCTGAATGACCTCTTTCTGTACTGTAGGAATTCTTTGATTCTATGAATTGAGACTACAGATGCAATGCTTCTACAAGAATCATTGGGTTGCAACGAGGAGGAGGAATTTGGCTGTTCCTCCTCTGTCCAAGGTCTAGAGGTCAACAGCAATAAGCCAACCACAGTCAATATCGTTTCAGAGATAGTAGGAACTGCAAATGCTGGAGAATCTGAGATAACAAGGTGGAGAGCTGGATGAACACAGCAGGCCAAGCAGCATCAGAGGAGCAGGAAGGCTGACGTTTCAGGCCTAGACGCTGCTTCAGAAATGGGGGAGGGGAAGGGGGATCTGAAATAAATAGGGAGAGAGGGGGAGGCAGATAGAAGATGGATAGAGGAGAAGATAGGTGGAGAGGAGGCAGACCGGTTAAAGAGGTGGGGATGGAGCCAGTAAAGGTGGGGAGTTAGGGAGGAGATAGGTCAGTCCAGGGAGGACGGACAGGTCAAGGGAGCGGGATGAGGTTAGTAGGTAGGAGATGGGGGTGGGACTTGAGGTGGGAGGAGGGGATAGGTGGGAGGAAGGACAAGTTAGGGAGGCGGGGACGAGCTGGGCTGGTTTTGGGATGCGGTAGGGGAAGGGGAGATTTTGAAGCTTGTGAAGTCCACATTGATACCATTGGGCTGCAGGGTTCCCAAGCGGAATACGAGTTGCTGTTCCAGCAACCTTCGGGTAGCATCGTAGTGGCACTGCAGGAGGCCCAGGATGGACATGTCGTCTGTGGAATGGGAGGGGGAGTTGAAATGGTTTGCGACTGGGAGGTGCAGTTGTTTAGTGCGAACCGAGCACAGGTGTTCTGCAAAGCGGTCCCCAAGTCTCCGCTTGGTTTCCCCGATGTAGAGGAGGCCACAACGGGAACAGTGGATGCAGTATACCACATTCGCAGATGTGCAGGTGAACATCTGCTTGATGTGGAAAGTCTTCTTGGGGCCTGGGATGGGGGTGAGGGGGGAGGTGTAGGGGCAGGTGTAGCACTTCCTCCGGTTGCAGGGAAAAGTGCCGGGTGAGGTGGGGCTGGAGGGGAGTGTGGAGTGGTCGGGGGAGTCACGGAGAGAATGGTCCCTCCGGAAAGCAGATAAGGGTGGGGAGGGAAAAATGTCTTTGGTGTTGGGGTCGGATTGCAGATAGCGGAAGTGTCGGAGGATGATGCGTTCGATCCAGAGGTTGGTGGGGTGGTACGTGAGGACGAGGGGGATTCTGTTTTGGTTGTTATTGTGGGGAGGGGGTGTGAGGGATGAGTTGCGGATTAGTGCTACACCTGCCCCTACACCTCCCCCCTCACACCCGTCCCAGGCCCCAAGAAGACTTTCCACATCAAGCAGATGTTCACCTGCACATCTGCGAATGTGGTATACTGCATCCACTGTTCCCGTTGTGGCCTCCTCTACATCGGGGAAACCAAGCGGAGGCTTGGGGATCGCTTTGCAGAACACCTATGCTCGGTTCGCACTAAACAACTGCACCTCCCAGTCGCAAACCATTTCAACTTCCCCCTCCCATTCCACAGACGACATGTCCATCCTGGGCCTCCTGCAGTGCCACTACGATGCTACCCGAAGGTTGCTGGAACAGCAACTCGTATTCCGCTTGGGAACCCTGCAGCCCAATGGTATCAATGTGGACTTCACAAGCTTCAAAATCTCCCCTTCCCCTACCGCATCCCAAAACCAGCCCAGCTCGTCCCCGCCTCCCTAACTTGTCCTTCCTCCCACCTATCCCCTCCTCCCACCTCAAGCCCCACCCCCATCTCCTACCTACTAACCTCATCCTGCTCCCTTGACCTGTCCATCCTCCCTGGACTGACCTATCTCCTCCCTAACTCCCCACCTACACTCATCTTTACTGGCTCCATCCCCACCTCTTTAACCGGTCTGAATCCTCTCCACCTATCTTCTATCTGCTGCCCCCTCTCTCCCTATTTATTTCAGATCCCCCTTCCCCTCCCCCATTTCTGAAGCAGCGTCTAGGCCCGAAACGTCAGCCTCTCTGCTTCTATGATGCTGCTTGGCCTGCTGTGTTCATCCAGCTCTACGCCTTGTTATCACAGTTAATATCAGTCTGCAACAGAGACTGGGAACCAACAGAGAAATGTCTGCTCAATACCCTTATCTACTGAACTGTCAGGAGTTACAGTACAGTGTTATAAGACACCATATGGCTTCTGAAGAAACAGATTACAGAATCCAACACAACAGATGATCAAGTATTATAAAATGATGAGAGATGGGAGGTGGCCACTTCGCTCATCAAGAGTGAAAAAGACACTCATCAGTCCCAGTCCCTAGCCCTTCCCCTTCAAGTAATTATTCATTCGCTTTTTCCTCAAAGTTATTGCTGAATTTGCTTCCATCACCTTTTCAGGCAGTGCAACAGACTTTTGCCTCAGTGCAGCCAGTTCAGTTCATGCGCTGCACGAGGTCAGAATAACGGATTAGTTTTACTCATTTTGTTTCCTTCACTAATAGGTAACCTGCCCCACACTCACAAGAAGAACATCCAGCGTGTTCAACTCCATCAACTCTTGGTTCACTTCACTATTGTTCACTTGCAAGACACTGGTGATGAGTTTGACAACGTGAACCCGTGTGTTCCCTAAGGGTGGGTCCAGGGTACCCCAGGTAGTCACCATTTTACCCTTCTGTAGAAAAAGAAAAATAAAGAAAATTAAATTTGAGGGGTATGATAAAACGAACATCATGATCAAATGATTTCTAGAGTTCTGCAATGAATGGGGGGTGCTTGTTAATAGAATCCTTGGATTGGGACACAAGTACTAGAACCGACAGTAGTTCCTATGTACCCTCAAGTTTGTTTTCCATCCAGTAAGGTCATGACTGACATTTTACATCAACTCCACTTTCTCTCCCTATCCACTCAGTACCAAACTGGAACGTCTTGGATATGGTCATTGATTAGATCCACGGCCTTCTGGACAAAACGTTTTGAAGATCCATTACCCCGAGCAAAGAAATTTCTGCCTGGCACAGTTCTCAGTGGCAGAACCAGGCCCTCAGACTACAACCCCTAGTGCGAGACTCTCCAAATAAGAGAAACGGCTTCTCGGCAACTTGGATTAATTAGCACCAGTCACAGTACAAAATCTCACCAAAAGCACAACATTTAAACTGGCGATAGCCTTATAATTGCTCCATTGTACCTACTCAAGGTATCCTCTGTTATATTAAAAAAAAATCCAAACTCAATTATGATCTAGCCTATCACTCAATCCTAGCTATTAGCTAATCTGCAGACCAACTATCCAGAATCCTTAAGTAAAGTCTAACCAATAACTCACTCTTGGATACCTGTTATGCCATATATAAACTATCTGAACACCTTCATTTATTTCCAATCTATAATTCATTCTCAGGAATTCATTATTTTAGATATAGCCTGTCTGAAACCCTTAATTAAAATCTAATCTGTAACTCATTCTCAGGGATATAAATAGAGCTGACAAGTCCCATCTGAGCTGAAATGTAACTTTCATTTTATCTATTGAGTGCTCAATGCCTTTTTACAATTCTCCAACACTTACTCATTATAGATTTACACTAAATGGTTAACCCCCTCCCACCCCGGCCCCGGCTCCCACCAACAATCCACATATTTTTCTCCATATAGAAAGGTTAGTAAAAGCTCCTATACGTGTTCCAGACTCTCTAATCAATTTTTACATGGCAGATGAGTATCACTGGCAAGGCCAGCATTTGTTGCCCATCTCTAAAGGCCCTTGAACTGAAAGTGCTCTGCTTAGCCACTTCCAAGGGCAGTTAAGAATCATTAAATTCTGTAGGTCAGGCCAAATAAGGATGGCAAATTTCCTTCCTTAAACAGCATTAGTACACCAGGCTGATTTTTACAATGATAGTTTCAAGGTCATTGTTATAAGCTTTTTTTATTTAAACGAATAAATTTAATTTAAATTCCATCTGAACCCACAATCTCAGTAATTTCCAGGCCTCTTGATTACTGGTCCAGTTCCATTAACACAACGCCACCATCTCCCTCCACCTACAGCGCTTGTATCAGAAAGTAATGGTAATAAAAATGAATTTGATATCAGGCTTGCCTTTGGTGGGTCGAGGAGGAGTTGGTGGAAATCCCGCAGTCTTAATTTGATGGCGAGTAGTGTCCCAGCGCTGACCTGACTGCAGGCATGGTCCATTCCAGGGGGGCACAGATCCAACTGGCCATCAAGGTTACAGAAAAGGCCACCCATACCACCCAGATCAGACCTGCACCAAAAAAAAAATACACATGAGTTCTAGTGATCTGTACTGTCATTAGTTGTGACAATTTACAAAGCAGAATTATTGGCTGAGTCATCAACTGTAAAACCGAAAATGCTAATAAAATCCTGAGAGGATGGTATTCCATTGTTAAAAGGCAGACATGGAATCTGTTTGGGTACAAAATAATTGTGTGAGCGCACACTTGGTTTTGAACCAAACAGTGATTTTGATGGATATGGACATGATAATTTTAGGGAGAAAAGAAATAGAGGTCTTAACGGTTAGCTTTCAACTGCTAGTAAACCTGAGATTGATAGATTTTTTTGTTATCCAGGAGGTTTAAGGGATATGGCCTCAAGGCAGGATGGGCATAAAGAGTTAATAACTTACACCTGTTGACATTTTCCTAATAGTTGAGTTACAGAAATGCAGGCTGTTTCAAGTTCACGCACAAGACACAGAGCAAGTGTTTCATACACCCAGCTGTATTAAGTTTGAACTCAGAAATAGGTGCAATCTTGGTGACTACCATTATTAATTCATTCATGGAAGATGGGCATTATTGCCCATCCCTCATTGTCCTTGAGGTTATCACCTTCATGAATATAACTAAGTGGCTTGCTTGAAAATATTAGAGGGCAGCTGAAAATCAACCACATTGCAGTCACATTTAGGCAGATCTCTATCCCTAAAGTACATTAGTGAACCAGGTGGGCTTTTAACCTAATCTGGTACTTGCACGGTCAATACTTCCGATGCTAGGTTTTCATTCCAGATTTATTAATTCAATTGAATTTAAACTCAACGGCTGAACTGGGATTTAACTTCTCTCTCCAAATAATTAGGCCACATTTTGGAATCATACATCCTGTAACATAAGCACTATGCTGACTGACTTCAATTGCATTTCAGGAGGTTGCAGTACAAACGAATGTGTAGGTTTTGGACAATTGCTACAGATGGCATAGACTCAGTGTCACATGGATAGCTTTGCTGAAGAAATCAGCCAGTTTCAAGCCTGAACTGGTTTATTTTTGGAATTGAAGGGAGATTTTAAAAAAAAAAAAATCATCTAGTTTGGACTAACAGAAAGCAAGCTCTTGCATTCAAAAAGGATGCACAACCTGCAGTCAATGATACAGTACAATACCGAAACCTGTAAAGTTTGTCTACAAGACCCTGGCTTCAGCACCAGTCAGCTGATTTTATTTTAAAATAATGTCCATAACGTGCTGGAAATGACCCAAAACGGAATTTAGGTTTTGTTCACCAAAAAAAGAACACTGATTTCCAAGCAGGATTTGAAGACACCGTCTCCACTGACATGTTTTCTAATTATATTTTTCCAAAAATAGCTGCTCTTCTCTTCTTTCCAGGCTACCCAAGTCTTACACTTCTTTCAGCCAAAATGCTCTCAACTCCCCTCCTCTGATGGATTGGCAAATTGGCTCCTAGAGGTGCAATAGGTTCTGGGGTGCAGACAATTGTGCCCATTACGATTTCTTAAAGGGGCATACCTAAACTTTCAAGAGCAGCAAAGTGACTAAAAACAGAGACCCAACATGTAAAGGAACAAAATGCTCCATCCAATGCCCTGTAACAGTTTTAGACAGCTACTTTGGCATGTTAATCAATACATGTACAGCAGGATGACAGAATCTAACTAAACTTGCACTTGACTTCTCTTTAATAAGGATACCTATGAGATGGTTGTGTTTGATCATTAAAATTTGCAGAGAAAGGAAAATTTCGAAAGTTCATTAAATGCCTTATTGGCGATGCTCAGCACAGATAAACAGATGCTAAATTAAGTTCAATTTTGGTCCAACACAAAACATCGTGACACTAACAGGGAAAAAGAGGCAGTTTGGTTTTTGAATTAACTACCATCAGACAATTAATTCACTGAATGTGAAGCGTTTGGAGATTTTACTCAGTGAATAAAGAGCGAAGTCTTTCAATCATATTGTAAATCAAGCTAGGAAACCCTGCAAAGGAAGCACTGCAATCCATAGTCATATAAATCAAGTGGGATGCCTGTTTTACTATCTCTGCAGAGTTAAGCAGCTGTTTCATTGTCTTCACTGATGTAAGTCCTGTAAACTGCTCCCACCCTCCACCCCAGGTCAGGGACAGGAGTGATCAACCAGGGCTCTCCCTCCTGACTGAATAAAATGATCCAGTGATTTAGTCTGCTGCAACATTCCACACATTTCTGCATGTGGTGTAACTTGCTGCTCCAGCAAAAACCCCAGAGGCAGTGAAAATGCTGGTTTCAAAGTAGCTTTAAGTCATGTGCCATGCCTTCAGCTTTTCAACACTTACCTAGGCCTACGTGTCTCCAACAGTGTTAGCAGTACCTGTATCCCATTAACGATCACCGACTCGTCCTTCTCGACATCAAACATATTATTAAGAAGCTGCTCAATGGTCTCCTGTCTAGAAAGAGGATCAAATGGAGATCATGATCAGAAAGCAAATATCTTAGTAAAAAAACTAGCTGTATTCTAAAAAGTCTGTTGCAAATCACTGGTATGATCTTAAGCACCCAGTTCTCGATTAATAGGTAACAAATAAAGGGTGCTACAAGTCTGAAATTCTTGCCACAAGCAGCAACTGATGCTAGATCAATTTTTTTTTTAATATCACAAATCAATCATGTTTTCACTGAATGCTGGAATAGGCCCAAGGGGCTAAATGAACTCAGTTCAAAGCCCACCGTGACATGCTGGGATGTGTTTCAGCACGCTAAAGCACAAGAATTAAACAAAAATTAAATGCAAACCAAATGCTCCATGATACAAATGGCAGGCAGAAGAATGGGACATAGCATAGCAACTCTTGGGAAGTGTGAAATCTAATTTTTTTTTTTAAAAAAAGGTAGCAAAGCAGCATACTCATGTCTTCATAGAAGGTGAGGTTGCAGAGAGAAGAGCAGTGAACAAGAGAAGAGCAACAAGGGCGGGGAACAGAGGATACAAGGCTCAAGTCCTGAAAGCGCACACTCCTGGCCCCTCTATGGTAATTATTTTCTCATATACTATTGTTTCCAAATCAATAGTTTTGCCAACGCACTACAGTCTCTTGGTACAATTAAAATGCTGCTTAAAATTTCAATGTGTGCAATTGAAATAATACTCAGTGATATTTTGGAGTTACGTATAGCTCACAGCTGCAATAACGTACTGTAAAATTCATCAAGATATTTTCAATGTACTAATTAACAGAGCCATGGCATGGTATCTTTTGTGACCACACTGCAGTTTTGTGGGTCAAGACAGACTAGTCAAGAGGAAGCAAGGTCAAGAACACTCTTCAGCTTGGGTTTCTTTGTAACACTATCTATTACACCTTAAGATTAAATATTACAATGCTTGATATTCAGAGACATACCAGGCTCTAATCTTACTGTTAAATAATTGATAAACTATTCCACAAACTCTGACTGTCTAATGCTAGTCAGTCTACACCATATGCTTCTCTGCACTAGTTTCCAACAGTCATATGGCTAGACTTCAGGGTTCAACCCAGCTCTCCATGTGTTTTTCTCTTCATAACTCGGTGCACATTGTGCTATATATACCCAGTGAGGAGCAGCTCTGCAACATCACTGCAAGGATGTATCAGGGTCCTAGTGACTTTACAGTTCACACATCTGCATGCCAAGATTTTGCAGGAGAGAAGTCAAGGTAAAGGAAAAATTGCAGTCTAAGGATCTGTTAATACAAGCATGATGAGGATCATCAGTCATAAGTAGCTGACAGACCTAGTGACGTAACAGAGGATCAGTATGATACATTGGTGGTTCAAAAGGTTAAATATGTCAACAGATGCAGCAGTCTTGATTTTTGCAGATTACTGATATGAATAATCTGGGCTCAGACATGAAGAATGGGCATTTGGCTAGGTAGTCAACGAATCAGGGACTGTTGCTGCATATATGACAAATTCAAGATGGTGAAGTAATAGCCATTGCAAAATACCCCAATTACTGAGCTTTCAAATTTGGCCATCCTTACTTTGGAACTAAGCAAGCATAGAACAAACATTCTTTCGGAGACAATTAAATACCCGGTCCACAAATTCAAAAGAAGAAATCACTAAACTTACTTCTCAAGTGTGGCCAGCAACTGGTCTGGTTCGGGACTGTCCTGAATCTGAATCATTTGTTCTCTGCTTAGCCGGATAATATCACACAGAGATTGAGACGCGTTAGAGTGTTGCTAAGATAAAGGAATGAGAAGGGAGAAAAACAAAGCTATTAAGACCTTAAATTCCATAACATTCTACAGTACTATTACCAAAATCACATTTATATCCTCACATCTTATTCCAAGGGCTTCACAGCAAATGGAATATTCATCCTTTGTGCAAATTGGTGAATGGACCAGCTAAGTTATATTTTTTAATGTTTGATGAACATTAGAATAATTCCGGGTCAGTACAATGGGAGAATTGTGAGCTTGTCTTCCAAGAGTACAACGGCATCTTTTAACAAAAACAGAACATCTCATACAAAAGGTGGCAACTCTGACAGTGTAGCATTTCCTTAGCAGTGTACTGAAGTGCAGTCAAGATTATCTGCTTAAATCTCGATACAGTCTCCTTACTTAATGGTAAGAGTAGCTAAGTTAGACAATCTTGCATCATTCCGAAGGGCAATTCAATAGGTACTCAACACTGTTACGTAGCTCAAACATTTCTCCTAACAGCTCAAGTTCTACACAAAACCAAATTTTTCTCCACAGTTGAAATAAATAAACATAAAATTATCACATAATGGATACACTTTAGAAACATGGCAAAACTGGGACCCTGGAAGAAACAGAATTAAAATTAACCAGGAGGTACAATTCACAGCATAATGAAAACAAGAAGTGCTGAAGAAACTCTAAGTCTGACACCATCTTTGGAGAGAGAAACAGGGTTACTGCTTTGAACCCAATGACTGTTCTTTGCAGGACAACTTAGAGTATTCAGATCATGAAAAATAATAATTGTTCCAAAATCAAAGACAGTGAATTTCAGAATACAGGTTTGAATTATACTTTGCTGCCAAGACGATGTTGCTGGATTCGCCTTTAATTCTCAGATATTCCTGGCCTCAAGCCTCAGAACAAAGGACTTTTGGACAAAGTCCATAGAACATTTTACCTTCACAGTCCCCTAAAGTGAACTTCTTTGACTTGAAACTCTGGGCAAGAGACAAAGCCGGAAAGAATCAGTGGTGCATCTACAGATGAGGTAAGGCCATGTGACATGGAAGCAGAAATAGGTCATTCAGTCCACTGAGTCTGCTATGCCATTAAATGAAAGCGTGGCTGATCTGACAACCATCAACTCCACTTACCTACCTTACTGACTAATTATCTATCTCAACCCCAAAAATACTTAGCAAGCCAGCCGTGGCAGCCCTCCGCAGTAAAAGAATATCATAGATTCACTACCCTCAGAAGAAATTCGTCCTCATTTCTGTCTTAAACGGTTGACCCCTTTCTTAGATTATGCCCGTTAGTCCTAGGTTCTCCAAGGAGAAACCACCTCTCAGCATTTACCTTGACAAGCCCTCAAAGAATTCTATATGTTTCAATAAAATCTCCTCTCGTTCTTCTAAACTCAAGTACAGGCTCAACCTTCTTCACCTTTTCTCATTAAAAATTCCTTCTGTGTCCAGAATCAACCTAGTGAACATTTTCCTGGCTGCTTCCTATTTTGTTATAACTAAATACAGAGATATCCAAGTTAAGATAATGGGACCAAAACTGTTCATAATATTCACAGGTATGGTCCAATGCACATGTTATCTACTTTTAGCAAGATCTCCCTGTTTTTATACTGTTGTAATAAAGGCCAACAATCCATTTGCCTTTCCTATTACCAGCTGAAATAGGATATTAGCTTTCTGAGACAGATTACAATAAACACCACTCCACTCCACCTCCCAAATCACACTGAAACTTGTTGAATCGGCACGCTAACAAGCCAGGAAATGAGAAATTCCAACCAGAAATTAGGAACCAATACATTTGTAGGTCACCAAAACTGATGCAAAAGATGGCTTTTTTCACTGCATTTTAATATCAACACGGTCCTTGATGAACAAAATACAGTTCAATACTCAAGTCTTGGTCTGAATTGAGTTCCTTAAATTCAGTTGAAAGAAAAGGACGCGCATTTACATAGTGCCTTTCTTTGTTTCAGAAGAACTTCCGGACATTCTGAAGTCATGGAGGTGGTTTGAGGTAGCTGCTGTTGCAATGAAGGCAAAACTGTTGGTATTTTGCAAGTCACCTTGTGCCATGCAGAATCCTACAAAGAGCACTGCCATAAGGGCAGTTTACGGTTATTGACTGAGGGAAAAAATAACCAACTATGATTTGGAACATAGAAATCTAGGGTGACACCTTCACTTCCTCAGCAGCAATTGAGGCTAGGCAATAAATGCTGAGGTTATTGTGATTGGTCAGTGGGGAGGGTGGAGCAGATAGGCAAGTAGAAAGATGGACAGGTTAGGTTAGGTCAGGTCAGGGAGGCACAGAGAATAGGAAGGGTTGGACATGGGATAAGGTTGGAGGCGGAGGGATTTTGAAGCTGGTGAAGTCAATATTGAGACTATTGGGCTGTAAGCTCCCAAAGTGAAATATCAGGTGGTGTTCCTCCCCTTCACGTGTGGCCTCACTGTGACAGCGGAGGAGACCAAGGATGGACATGTCACCAGATGTGTGGGTGGGGGAATTAAAATGGATGGCAACCAGAAGGCCAGGTTGGTTGAAACATTGAAAAATACCTGAAACATTGACTTCTCCTTTCCTCCAGATGCTGCCTGGCTTGCTGTGTTCTTCCAGCCTCCTGCTTGTCTATCTTGCATTCCAGCATCTGCAGTTTTTTTTTAATCTCTGTCCAATTTCCTACTCACTGATCCACTCCATCCTTCCCACTGACCAATCACAATATCCTCCAACCTGCATCCACCTATCACCATCTCACCTACCCTTCCCCCAGCCACACTCCGCTCCCTCTATTTACTTCAGGGCTCCACTTCACCTCCCCAGTCCTGACGAAGGGTTTCGGCCCAAAACATTGACTTTCCTGCTCCTTGGATGCTGTCTGACCTGCTGTGTTTTTCCAGCTTCACATCTATTGACTCCATTAAGAAAGTGATGTGCTCAGAGGTCGCATTTGCCAGACAAGAAATAATTCAAGGTCCTCACAGTTAGATCTAATAAGGCAAGGCATTATTTTAAAGCTGACCAGGAGTTATTCCTATGTGGGCTGTGTAAAAAGGCCATTAGAATTTCATGGTTAATATCCAGCAACTTTCGTGGGATGCCAGAAATCCAGCTTAAGATGTCAAGGTAGGGCTGCCAAACATTTACCTTTTAGGTACAACGGAGATTTGGGAGTTGAAACTCCTGTTCTCAGTAATCTACACGTGTATCAAGTTGCTGATAACAACACATCTTGGTGTTCAATGAAGCACAGGCACTAACACCACTCTTTCCAAACAGGCTAGGAACGAAACAGGGTTCATAGCAAACACAGGGCTTCTTCATGCGGCCCCTGGCACTTCAGGTTCGACACTCTTACCCTACTAAAACATTTAAACTGCTTTCAGAACCTCCGGATACCTTCAGATGGGTTTTAAAAGGGAGAGGTTTATCAATCTTAATGAAAAATTATTACAATATTTGCGCATAACATTCCAACAAAGTTGCTATCAATAGATTAGTTGGACAAAACTGCTTGTTGTAGATTTAAGTCCAGGCTTTATAAACTTTCTGTTTTGGGATGGAAATCTGACCTGGATAAACACAGGAGAAAGCGCACTACTCTAGAAACAGCACTGAAGTAGCTAGAATTCTTGTGGTTACATTCTGCATCCTATGAATGGCCCCCTCCATGTCAAATAGCCTGGGGATAAGACTAAAAAGTAGCCACGTTGGTTATATAAAGGACAGCAAGCTGTATTTGTGGAACTAATTTCAAGTCAAAATTCACGCCTTCAGTAGAGGAGCAAAGAAGGGCGGCTGAAAAAAAACCCCATCGGAAATATGATACAAAGCTATTCAGCACTCCAAAGAAGACATTTACTTCTTTTCCCTTTCTTCTACAGCTGAAGGCATTCCATTCCTGAAGTACCTCAAAGCAAATGGCAATTTGGTGTCAGTAAGCTTCAACATTATTCAATCTTAGAAGACATCAATGAAGTCTGCCCATCCTGATCGGATATCAATGCAGCTGCATACTTGCATGACTAACAGTAATGCTGATGGAGAACGGCTAACTCAGAACAGATCAGGAATCAGATGTTGGCACTTCTTGATTGTTCGATTGATTAAAAATCATGACATGACTATCTGAAAGCCAAAAACTTGAGCTGTAGAAAATTCTGTGAAACTTTAATTATTTAAACAGGATCCCTACATTACCTTTAAGTAAGGGTTCTTAGTGCTGCTGGAAAATACCCACATGTATGACTGGAAAATATGAAAGGTAAGATTTTTAATCTACTGCTTTCATAAAAATGGCTTCGACATCTGTGAACATGCTGGCATCTTTGTGGAAGATTTCATGCTGGTTTTAACCAGAAGCAGTCGCTTTGTACATGTTTGGGAATTGTTCTTAGTTTCATTTTTCCAGTTTGTGGGGTTAGCTCAGCCTTGGATTACAAACAAAACAAAAATAAGTGAGCAGACAATTTCAGCTTTCATGGAGACCCTTACATCAGTGGTGGGCAAGTTGTTGGAGGGGATCCTGAGAGACAGGATTTACATGCATTTGGAAAGGCAAGGACTGATAAGGGATAGTCAACATGGCTTTGTGTGTGGGAAATCATGTCTCTCTAACTTGACTGAGTTTTTTGAAGCTGTAACAAAGATTGATAAAGGCAGACCAGTAGACACTGTCTATATGGACTTCAAAGCATTAGACAAGGTTCCACATGGTAGACTGCTTAGTAAATTTAGACCCATGGGATCCAGGGAGAGCTAGCCGATTGGATACAAAATTGGCTTGAAAATAGGAGACAGAGGGTGGTGGTAGAGGGTTGCTTTTCAGACTGGAGGCCTGTGAGCAGTGGTGCACAACAAGGATTGGTGCTGGATCCATTGCTGATCATCTATTATATAAATGATTTGGATGCGAATATAGGAGGTATGGTTATTAAGTTTGCAGAAGACACCAAAATAGGTGGTGTAGTTGACAGTGAAGCAGATTATCTTGGAGTACAACTGGACCTTGATCAGATGGGTCGATGGGCCGAGGAGTGGCAGATGGAATTTAATTTAGATAAATGAGAGGAGCTGCATTTTGGTAAGGCAAACGAGGGCAGGTTTAATGTATAGTTAATGGTAGGGTCCTGGGGAGTGTTGCTGAACAAAAACAGGTTTAGGGATGCAGGTATACAGCTCCCTGGAAGTGGAGTCACAAGTAGACAGAGTGGTGAAGGCAGCATTTGGCACACTTGCCTTCACTGGTCCAGGGCATTAAGTAAAGGAGTTGGGATGACATGTTGTGGTTGTACAGGACATTAGTGAGGCTACTTTTAGAATACCGCGTACAATTCTGGTTGTCCTTCCAAAGGAAAGATGTTTTTAAACTTGACAGGGTGCACCAAAGACTTACAAGGATGTTGCCAGGACTGGAGGGTTTCAGCTACAGGGAGAGGCTGAATAGGCTAGGGCTATTTTATCCCTGGAGTGTCGGAGGCTGAGGGGTGACCTTATAGAGGTTTATAAAATCATGAGGGGCGTGGATAGGGTGAATAGCCAATGTCTTTTTCCTAGGGTGGGGGGAGTCCAAAACTAGAGGGCACAGGTTTAAGTTGAAAGGGGAAAGATTTAATAAGGACCTGAGGGGTACTTTTTCACACAGAGGCTGATGCGTGTATGGAACAAGCTGCAAGAGGAAGTGGAGGAGGCTGGTACAATTACTACACTTTAAAGGCATCTGGATGGGTAAATGAATAGGAAGGGTTTAAGAGGGATGTGGGCCAAATGCAGCAAACGGCACTAGGTCAGATTGGGATAGTCTGGTCAGTGTAGATGAATTGGGCCAAAGGGTCTTTTTCTGAGCTGTATGACTATGATTCTATGTAGCCATGCTGGAAAAATAGAAAGCCATGTCCAAAGACATTCTCACAGAATGATTCAAATGTGACTACCTTCAAGCTTAGCTGAAGGCCTATCTTTTGACACAGACAGCACTTCTCAGCTAAAATGATCAATTCCTAGTCAGACAGGAAACTGACATCCTTTCTAAAGCACAATCAAAGGCAAAACTGTTCAAAATATCGATGACATAATGGTTTAGCAGTAAAATGGATCAGTGCAATTTAGCAGAAAGTCAACATGCACTAAGTCAATTAAAGAAATCTGATTAGCTCACTCGCTATTTCCTGAATTTTATGGGACTCTTGCACTTACATCCTCATCTTTGGAACGGTGGATCATCTCGATGAGTCTCTGGATAATTTTCTCCTCGTTCAGCCACTGTTGGATTACAGAATACATGAACCTAGATGCATTCATTCTACACAAAATGCTCACCAACACAGTCAAACACCACAGCGTGGCTAGTTTTTCAGCCCATCATGTCAGCGCAAACTCTTTAAAAAGAGAGATAGCAAATTAATCCCATTTCCCAAACTCTATCCCTACAACTGCGCATCTTTTCCCCTTCTTAAAATGTTTATCCAGCCCCTTTGAAAGCCACCACTGAATGTACTTCCATTATCCTCTCTCACATTGAAACCCTGATTCTCTCTCAAGAGGTAGAAAGAGGGGTGGGGGGTAAACGTGGGCCAGTGTGTACTTATTCTAGGTAATTTAACTTAGTTGTTCTTTTTTCATTAGATGACTGAATTCATAAGCAGAAACATGCAAAATATCTGTGGTCAAATTAGTATACTTCATCAACTATTACCTTATTCACCCTTGCCATTCCATTCCCGTCCTTCTAACATGATTCCACCCTGGCCATTACATTCCTCCCATGCTTTATCAGGAAATGCATTTATCCAAATTATGATAAAATGCTACATATAATAACATACTACCTCAGTATCCCTTTTAAGAGAAATCTGTACAACGATTGGTGTTTCAGTCCCTCCTTCAAAAAGATGCTTTCATATTATAGATGTCTCTTGGTACTCTCTCTTTCAGAGTTATCTTTGCACTAATTGGAGTCTTTCAGGCCTCTTTCATTGTTTTTGTTTCAGCAATATTTCAAAATTACCCTGCCTTCCAAAATGAAAAGGAATACTAAAGACCACTTACATTCAGCACATCCTGCCTGAGTTGAGGCTGCTCCACACACGTGAGAAGCCGGAGTAGGAGGTCCATAATGGCCGAGGTTCCTATGTGCTTTAACAATAAGTTTACAAAATCAACCTTCTTTCGTAGAAAATCCACTATCTGCAAAATAAAAAGATCAAACATGTGAGAAAATGCTACCTAGCAAGTGCGTTACTATTCAGTTAGTGTTCCATCCAAGTTTCTACACCCTTCCCACATGGAAGTTATCACAACTAGAAAGCAGTTTTTCTAACTCTCCCCAACTTGCCATTTTTAATGCGTTGGTCAAAGTTGAAACTGTTATAGAAATTGGAAGTTTTTTAAAAATGTGTTGAGAGAGTGTGTGGAAGCTGCCAGTGAAGCTATCATTTATTTCCCTCAACTACAATGGAGAAGGCGGTGAAGAGCAACTTTCTTGAATCACCATAGTCAGTGGGTTGTCAAGACACTCAGACCGCTGTTAGGAAAGGGGTTCCAGGATTTTCACTAAAATGATAATGAAGAAACAGCAATACAGTTCCAAGTCAGGATGATATGCAGCTTGGAGAGGAAGTGTCAGGTTGTAGTGTTCAGAGCTATTTGCTGCTCTTAGCTTTCTGGTTGTACAGGTCATGAATTTGGTAGGTGCTGTCGAAGGAGCCTTTTGTAACCAATGATAATGAAAGGCTTTCATCTCATAAGACAACAGTTTGTGTTGTGGTTGTTAACTCTTAATACAATTTAAGCATTATTCTTTGGGATTTAGGAGTCCATTCTGGCATGGAAGTCTCTGCTGCGTTTGATAGATGAAGGCGGCATTGGGCTGACAAGGTGCATGATTTACTGGCTTTTTCTCTCTCCAGACCCTGCTCTTGGCCAGCTGAGCTTTCCTTTTCCACTTATCTCTTCTACTGCCCTTCCAACAGTTAGCCTTCAGATGTCATCTCCATCAGCAATCCCCTCCTACTTGTCAGCATCAATGTCGTGATCTTCCTATCTGGCTGGCTTGCATCCTCATAGCAGAGGTATGGATGCCATAAGGTCACAGAAAAATAACCACTTCAGCATGCAGAAGGTCTTTGTGTACATGGCTGTCATCACCTGATGAATATGTCTAAGCCAATGCAAAGGTCATTGGATTAGCAACAAGTGTATCCTGATGCAATTAGCATACTCCAGAACTACAGATTTGATAACCTTGTCCTTTGAATCTCTTAGCAGGACATGTCTAAGACAGGAAAGATGGAAACTCCTCCCCTCTCTAGCATATATTATCCAGGTCTCAGCCATTGTTGCGTGGAACACACACACTCATGTTGTACTCTAGGGAGGAAACCAACCAAGCTGCAGACACCACAGCAAGCCTGTCTGTCATGACAGAGTTGGAGATCAACCCTCAGAGGAGGGATGTAGCAAAACTATTGACTTGCTTGCTATGGGCAGAGCTCCAGCTGATGGTACAAAGCTATCTGAACTCCAAGCACACCAAACCAGCATTTCATCAGCATCTACACAAATGTCTCTGGAAGGTGGGGACAGTTCCCCAGGATATGCATAATGCGAAGATTGTGACCCTGTACAAAACAAGGGTGACCCCAGCAATTGCAACTATGGAGGCATTTCCCTGCTGAACACTGCAGCAAAATTATTTGCCAGTGTTGTCCTTTTCAAACTATAGATCCTGGCTGAATGTATTACCTCAAATCCCAGTGTAGTTTCAGAACTGAGAGATCATTAGTTGACTGGGTAGATTCACAGTTGGGTATTCTCAATTAAATCGTGTTGTTCTACACAAACTCATGCTGTTTGGACATGTCTGTTGCAGCATTTTCAATCCGTACGTTGATGTCAGCATCATTTATCGGATGGCTAATCATAGAGCTTGGATACCTTGCGAAGCTGTCAATAACCCTCTAATGTCACATTTTCAATACTGACAAGTGGTGGCATGGCAACATTTTGGACAATGACATTGGTCTTCCTGATGGACAAACTGAACTCTTTACAGATGTGAGTGTGTCTGTTAATTTGCTGCTGAAGGCGCTGCTCATTATGGAATGTTACTGTGGCACTGTCATTCTAAAGCAACTCAATCATGAGAACCTGATGCACCTCTGTGATGGATCTCTGGTGAACAAGGCTGAACAGCTCCTTGTCAGTTTTGATATATCACTAGACATTCTCTGGAGATAACCTGAAGTTATATGCAGCAACAAAGAAGAATAGTTCAAAAAAGGTACAACATTGTTAGACCCTCTTGAGGATTTCAAAGGGTTCCATCATAACTGGATTTGTCCATTATACTTTTGTGGAAAAGACAGGAGCTTTGGCAGGCAGCCAATTTTCTCCAAATAGCTTAAATGGATAGCCTCTGCTTACATAAATGAGTGCCTTGGCCAGTTCAACAAACGCAATACAAAGTGGTCTCCTTTGTTCACAGCATATCTTTCGCAGTTGACTGAGAAGTTCATGTCAATTAATGATCTCTCAGTTCTAAAACTACTCTGGGATTTGAGGTACATACATTCCGCTAGGATCTATAGTTTGACAAGGACAACACTGGCATATAATTATCCTTTGGTGTTCAGCAGGGAAATGCCTCCATAGTTGCAATCACTGGGGTCACCCTTGTTTGGTACGGGGTCACAATCTTTGCATCATGCATATCCTGGGGAACTGTCCCCACCCTCCAGAGTCATTTGTGTAGGTGCTAAAGAAGCGCTGGTTTCCTGTGCTTCACGAGTTCAGGTTACTTTGCACTATCACCTGGAGCTCCGCCCATAGCAAAACTATTGTCTCGCTTGCTAAGCCCCTCCATTGAGGGTTTGATATCCAGCTCTGCCATGACAGGTAGGCTTGCTGTTGTGCCTACAGCTCCTTTGGTTGGTGACCACCCTAGAGTACAACACAAGAGTGTGTTCCATGCAACTCTCCAAATGTTGATTCCTATCAGTAATGACCTCCACTCTTTAAATTCAAATGATTTTTCTTTGATGATTAAATTGATGTCCTTTTAATCTCTTCATACATTTCTTTGTACTTCCCTTCAATCACTACTGAACCAAATATGATTCACAAGGTTCAAGAGGCTATGTCTGCCCAAAACATTAAACAATGCCAATATAGACTTGTTTTGCCTGGCCTTATAAATCAGATTATCGAGCTGCAACAATTTACAAACAGTTCTCTTAATTCACTGAAGAATTAAAAATCTGCATAAATGAGAAAGAAATTTGAATTCTGAACACTAATCTTTAAGCGTACCTTCTGATGCATCTTCAATAAAACCAGAGGCTCTAATTAGAAGAATGACATTGCACTATGACATGCATCTTGAGTGCACAGGGCACTCATCAGGAAACACAAAAGTAAACAGACAGGAACTGTTTTCCTTCGGGTCTTGGCATTTTCTATATCATAACCCTGTCCATTTGGGTTAAAGACATGTTCTCTGGCTGGATGAAGAAGAGATGATAAAAATCTGTCCATGTTGATACTAGCAGTCAGCTTTCATGTTGGATTTATATATAACCACAAAAGTGCCTGCCATGATTTAACACCAAGCAAAACCTCAGCGTGTGTTATAAGTTAATAAGCAAACATGAGTCAGCACAACTTTCCCAGATTCATATTTCAGATTAACTGGCAGAAAAGATCAGTAGTGCAGTTAGTATGTTTATTTATCGCAACAGCACTTTAAATCCCCATCCCATTCATCTTCTTCCTTTCAACCCTCTCACTTCATTCCCATCTTATCCTTTCTTCCTTGGTCTTCCTATTCCAAACTCCCTTGCTACCCTCCTCTGTTCACACAATGCTTCGCCTCCTTTGCAGCAGAGTGCTTTATGTCTGTTGCGGTAATTTGGTAAAACTGATGATCTGCACTTGTGGGATGGTGGTTAGTTAATCTGATCTTTTAAAACTTTATTGTGGGGCATTTGGGTACTCAGAGTATAAAAATCCACCAAGTGAAGCACCTCAAACAGTCTAAACAGTCTAAACAGTCCAGACAAGCAAAAGTACCAGATTATTATCATAGATTCATTCCTGTCTCAATCCCACATTCACCATGTGGATGATTCTCAGTCACAACCTGCCAACTACAATCCCAATTTCTAGCTTGCAGCCTAATCAAAATCCTTAAGATGAGATTCTATAGAAAGGATAGAAAAGGTCAGGGGTACCAATAGAGGAGGGGAGTGGTGTTTTAGTTAAGGATAACATTACTGTTGTACTTAGGCAACATTTTTCTGGGAGAACATCCAGTGAAGGTAATGGATGGAACTGAGAAATAAGGAAGGGATGAAGATTGCACTATAGGCGCCCCAATAGTCAGTCATTTGAAGAGATGACAAAGATTTAAAGGGACCGTGGGGAGCAACTTTTTCCATGCAGAGGGTGGTGTGTGTATGGAAAATCTGCCAGAGGCAGTGGTGGAGCTAGGTACAATTACAACATTTAAAAGGCATCTGGATGGGTACATGAATAGGAAGGATTTAGAGGGGTATAGGCCAAATGCTGGCAAATGGGACTACGCTAATTTAGTATATCTGGTTGGCACAGATGATTTGGACCAAAGGATCAGTTTCCATGCTGTATAACTGACTCTGAAGTAGCAGGCTACCATCACTCCTCCCATTCGCCAAAGGACCTAAGTTTGTTCAGACCATTCCCAATTTTAAGAAGGTGCTACAGGTGGATTATATAATTATATGTGAATTATGCCAGACAGAGAATGAATCAGACCTTTTCGTAAAACTTTAGTCAGAGAGAAAAAAAAGACTACCCTCTCTGTCATCAGTTAACAAAGAACGGTCACTTGAGTGAGGTACTGGCAGAACTACAGTTCAGCAGGAATACATCTTTCTGTAAGGAACAAGGGAAAAAAAAAAGGAGTTGGCACTCTTTTGCCTCAAGCCCTCTTGACTCCTCTATATTCTCAATGATCATCTCACTCTCCCGGACGCTTAGTGGCTTATATACAATCGCTAGTCGAGAACTAGGATGGGTGATCTACTTCATACTTCCAAATATCTGTCTGGGAACCCAAACTACACTGCTTCCCTTCTCTGTAGCCTCGCCATAGCAAGCACCAGTAATTTAATGTGTGGTGGAAACTCTCTTTCTGATAAATATTGCTTCAGGATTCAAAATCAATAGAAAGGAATGGTGTGTGTTCCATTTAAGGTAGTAGCAATTCTAGGTCAGGAAGAAGAGATCTAGATGCTTATTGATCGCTGCCTCAATGTCCCCCAGTCATCATCCGAGAAGAGTATCTCAGCTGTGGAGGACTGAAATTTTTCCATTTCTGGCATTTGGTTAGGCACCATTTGGTTGTATGATCTGCTGCCCATTAGGAACATCAGTCAAGATGAAGCACAAAGGATCTCTAGTCAGCAGACCCATGTCATCTCAGTCTGCAATGGAGCTCAATTCAGATTCCACCTACTTCCTACCCATCTGCCAAAAATTTCCTCTCTCACAAGAAGATTATGGAAGGAAAAAAATCCATTTAATATTTTAAATGGCTTCAAATTACACTGCTCCTTTCACTGATTGACTATTCCAATCTTTTCCTGCTGGCCTCCTATTTTCTACCTCCATTTACTTTGCCAACTAAATTCTAAGTCACACTGTCCTTTTCACCCAACATTTTTGTCCTCCCAAAACTACCAAATGTTTTCAGACCTCCATTTTAAGATTCCTATACTGGTATACAAATTCCTCCCCATCACTCAAATCTCCTCCACTCGCCGAGAACTGCGTGTTCCTCTAACTCTGGACTATTATGCTTCCTTCATTCCACAATTAGCAGTCATTTCTCCCTGGGACCAGTCTTTCAAAAGTATTTTATTATCCTGCTCGCACTCAACGCTAACTCTTTGGCCAATCTTTGGTCGTGTGGCATAGCTCTGCTCTCTTTGGCTCAATGTCAATTTTTCTTTGATTTTGCTCCTACAAAGCAGCCTGGGATATTTTACTGCATTGAGGTGCTATACAAATGCAAATATTCATTGTTGTTTCAAACCCTGCAGCCCCCAGCAAAGCAAACACAACGACACCCAGTTTAAAAGGATTCAATCCAGTCACATACCTGTTCACTCTTCCTGTTAATGAGGATGCCCATTACTTTACTGAAGAAGCTTGCCAACAAAGGGTTAAGTACACTGTCATTTTGCAGGAAGGCATACAGACGGCTCAGCAGCGACTCATCCTCACCCAGTGCATCATTAACCTGTGTCACATCAGCAGTCAGGATCTCACAGGATATATTAGGGTACCTGGATCAAGATAGTTTAATTTGTAGATAAAACATTCTCAATGAAAGCTACCTTCTGCATTTTAAAGAGGCCATTTCAGGAAAACCAGTCCATTTGCATTACTGAGATTTCAGTACAGTACAGGGTACGGGGAATTTTCATACTGAAAAGACCCAACAGCACAATTACAAGTTTTATCCTTGCTAACTTGGCTCTGTCTGGGTGGGAGCATTTTCAGCTACATAACACTAGGGTGAAGTTCTGGTGATTACAAGTCTGTAATTGGTAATGGCAGTGATAGGAGGAATTCAGTAGAGTAAAGGATCAGGTCAGAACCACAAAAAAAAATTAAGTGCTGGCTTAAGGGCAACTTTTCCAACCCTCAGAACACTTTGATACTAATAAGATGGATAAGTTGGCAACAACACCAATGGTTCTGATAAATCCAATAGTGTATAAAGAATAGCAATATTCTCCATGTCACTGTCATATATGAAGATACAAGATTACTTGGAACACTCAAAGCAATCAAGGTAACAGTTGTGTGGAAAAATGAGCATCTTTTGTCTCGAGCACTGCAAGAGGTACAAGCATGTGAGTGAGGGAGAGGGAGAGACAGAGACATGCTCAGCGAGAGGGAGACACAGAGACGGAGACAGGGATACACTCAGAGACAGAGGGAAAGACATACACAGAGTGTAAAGAGAGAGTGAGAGCCCAAGTGTCCCATGAGGGAAAGCAATGAGTCAATTCTCACATTAATTGTGTACAAGTTTAAAAAAAATTACATTACATGAAACATCACACCCTATTTATACTGCTCCATCAAGCATTCCTAGGATGATCGATGTTAATACACTGACACAACACGGGATTAGGAAGGCAAACGGAATGTTGTAGTTGTTTACTGGAATGGAAATGGAATATTAAAGTAGGGATGTTTTGCTACACAGTTATACAGGTCATTGGTGAGACCACATCTACAGAACTGCGTCTTGAAGGTTGTTTTTGGAAAAGGAACTGCATTAGGGATATTAGGAGAGAAGGTTCATTCAACTGATTCCCGGCACAAAGGTGTTATCTTTGAGGAACTGCGGGACAGCTTGGGCCTATACCTAACAGAGACCAAAGGGTCTATTTCTATGCTCTATGACTCTATAACAAAAGATGATGTTACTGAAACATAAGATCCTGAGGAGAGTTCACAGGGTGGATGCTGGGAAGACCGTTTAAAAATAAAGGGTGTCCCAGTAAAGAGAGAGATGAAGAGAATATTTTTTCGAATTCTATCCCCAGAGAATGGTGAAGGTGGAGTTGAAGTTTTAATTAACAAAGAGAATGGGGGGGGGGGGGGGGCACACACAGGAAACTGGAGTTGAGGTCACAATTAGATCAAATGGCAGAGCAGGCCCTACAGACAAATGGACTCCTAACTTGCGAGTTTTTATATTATATGCAGAATAAACCTTGCTCTTACTCCATACAGCACTTGAATACCAGATGCATGCAAAGCTTTCTCACAGTTCTAGTGGTCTCTTTTAACCACAACTATACCTACTGGAGCACCAATGTGAATTGCAGCTAGTTGAAAACAGGTATTTTTTCACTCATAATTATGTTAAACGGTTGTTAAAAAAAAGCAGAAGCCTGTTTGTGGCAGATCAGATTAAAATGAACTGAGTTCAGGAGCTAGCTTTCCTCCCACAACCTCCCTAATGGTTTAGTGGCTAAAAGATGCACCCGCAGTCACACTGAGGAATGCAGAACAGGAGGACCGAAGGCTTGACTGCTGCTCTATGCTGAGGTTTCCAACTTCAAACAGACAAACTAAACTCTAGCAGGCTGAGGGGTATGCAGATAAGAGAGGAACAATCATGGAGGTTGTGTGCATGCACACGTGATCAGCCTGCAGCTGTCCCTCTTCCTTGTCATGATCCTTTGAAACTTTGCCAGAAAATCCAGTCAGACAGGTCAATATTTATTTGACTTCTCGTGTGGTGGCAGATTTTTGAAAGATGATCCAATTAGTCCAACTCCTCACCATTTTACTCATAGCCCTTCATTTTCAAATACTGATGTGTTTTGACTATTGTCCACTAGCTTTTCAGTCTGTTCTGACTACAAGAGGTACAAGCATGTTAGTGAGCGAGCGAGGGAGAGAGGGAGAGGGAGAGGGAGAGGGAGAGGGAGAGGGAGATGGTTCTGAGAAGGGCATTTTCTTCACACTCTCTCGAACAAGAGCTGTTTCTCTCTTCAAAGATGCTGGCAGGCTTGCTGACTATTTCCAGCACTTTGCTTTTAGATTTACAACATCCACAGAATCTTAATTTTGCTGCTCTTTACGACAAGTATTGTGAAATGCTTCACTGCACAACACTGGTAGTTATACAGTGCTTTAATGAGCCACTGTTGCAACTGACCCTGGATCGGCAGAATACGGGCTGTAGATCAACAGTTCTCACCCCAAGAATACAAATGCACAGTGTGCTTTGGAAGATCTGAAACTTCAGGCCAAGTCAATGCACTCATTTCTAGTTAGTTAAAAAAACAATTACTTTATTTCCTTGCTTCACAGTGCCACCCTCCCCCACATGCCCATTTATGGGAGGGACATGACCAGCTCCTAGGCCTATGTCAATATCCTCAATGGCAAGTTACAGAAGACAATTTTTCTCAATCCACTCTGCTTCCTCTCCCTTCCACTAGGGAGGAGCCTGTTGCCCACAGAGCCTCCCACATACCACAACTGTGATAACGAATATGACCTACAGCATACTTTCAGCAGATAGCATCATGTTTGAAAATTGTTGTTGTGGCAACCAACAAAAATTGCTACTGATGCATCATTACTGCTCATTGGGTAAACTTTGGTTTGGGTCACGTGGTCATGTGCTCATGACCTGGTCTATTGCCAACACTTCAGTGCTTCACAGGGGTGATACTGCATTATTGGAGGCATTGTCTCTTAGAAGACACATTAAACCCAAGGCACCACCTATTGGTTCAGCTGGATGCAAACAATCAATGGGAATATCTGAAGAACAATAAGGAGCACGATCACTAATATGGCCAACATAAATCCCTCAACTGGATGTACAGTTTACTGCCGCATGTGGGATGAACTGTGTTCAAACTGGTTGGTCTATCTACCTGCACAACAATAGCAAGTGCACTTCAAAAGCAATTCATTGATTGTAAGAAGGTCCAACTGAAAAGGTGTTCCAGTCTTTGGGATAGTTTCAGTCTCAAGTGTTTAAATACATCACTTTCCTATCTTCTGCAGAAAGGCCTTGTTAAAAACAAAAAGGGTTCAATGGATGTTAGTGCTACTGGTTAAGCCAGCATTTACTGCTCATCACCGTTCTCAAGGGCAGCGTTTTTGGAATGCTGCAGTCCATGTGGTGCTGGTATGCTCTTAAAGCTGTTAGAAAGGGAGTCCAGGGTCTTGAATAAGAAACACTGAAGGAGTGGCAATATAAATTCCAAGAATGGGTAGTAATTGGGTTAGAACACAAGAACATAAGAACTAGGAGCAGGAGTAGGCCGTCTGGCCCTTCAATAAGATCATGGCTGATCCTTTCGTGGACTCAGATCCACTTACCCGCGTTCTCACCGTATCCCTTAATTCCTTAATTGTTCAAAAAAAAATCTTTTTTTTTTTTTAAAAAGCATTTACTGAAGTAGCATCAACTACTTCACTGGGCAAGGAATTCCATAGATCACCTCTGGGTGAAGAAATTCCTTCTCAGTTCAGTCCTAAATCTGCTCCCTCTAATCTTGAGGCTATGCCCTCTTGTCCTAGCTTCACCTGCCAGTGGAAACATCCTCTCTACTTCTATCTTATCTATTCCCTTCATAATTTTATATGTTTCTATAAGATCCCCCCTCAATCTTCTGAATTCCAATGAATATAATCCCAATCTACTCAGTCTCTCATAAGCCAATCCTCTCAACTCCGGAATCAACCTAGTGAACCTCCTTTGCACCCCCTGCAGTGCCAGTACATCCTTTCTCAAGTAAGGAGACCAAAACTGCACACAGTACTCCAGGTGTGGCCTCACCAGCACCTTGTACAGCTGCAACATAACCTCTCTGCTTTTAATCTCAATCCCTTTAGCAATGAAGGGCAAAATTCCATTTGCCTTCCTAATTACTTGTTGTACCTGCAGACCTACCTTCTGCGATTCATGCACAAGGACACCCAGGTCCCTCTGCATAGCAGCATGCTGCAACTTTTTACCATTCAAGTAATAATCCTTTTTACTATTACTCCTACCAAAATGTATGACTTCACATTTATTTACATTGTATTCCATCTGCCAGACCTTTGCCCACTCACTCAATGTATCTATGTTCCTCTGCAAAGTTTCACAGTCCTCTGCACACTTTGCTTTGCCACTCATCTTAGTGTCATCTGCAAACTTTGATACCCTACACATGGTCCCCAGCTCCAAACCATCTATATAAATTGTAAATAATTGCGGTCCCAACACCGATCCCTGAGGCACACCACTAGTCACTGACTGCCAGCTAGAATAGCACTCATTTATCCCCACTCCTTGCTTCCTGTTAGTCAACCAATCCTCTATCCATGCTAATACTTTACCCTTAACGCCATGCATCCTTATCTTATGCAGTAGCCTCTTGTGCGGCACCTTGTCAAAGGCCTTTTGGAAGTCTAGGTACACCACATCCACTGGGCCCCCATTGTCCACCTCGCTCGTAATGTCTTCATAGAATTATGAAGGGAAACTTGCAGGCAATGGTATTGCCATGCACCTGTGACCTTTTCCCTTTAAGATCCTAAAGGACTTGGGTTTGGAAGTCACTGCCAAGAGCTTTGGTGAGTTGTGCAGTGCACTTACAATTGGTCAACACTAATGCCACTGTGCATTGATGGTGGAGTGAGTGAATGCTGAAGATGCTTAAGCAATTTTGACTTGAGTAAGTTAAGCCCCAATTTGCACACAATCAACATCATAAAAACTTATTTAAACAGGCAAATCAAATCTCACAAAGTGGGTGGCTTTGGCTCAATAAGTAGGGTTCAAGTACACCCCCAAAAAAAGGAGGATTTGACCTTAGCTGACACCTCAGATGGAGATACACACTCAGAAGTGAAGCCTTTCTGAGGAGATGTTAAACCAAGGCCATATCTGGCTCCTTCAGACTAATGTCAAAGATCCCACGGTATTAAGCAAAGAGGAGCAGGGATGTTCTCCCCCGTATTCTGGCTAATACCTATCCCTCAACTATGCCTAAAAATAAGATCTTCTTTCATCATTGTTCATGGGACCTAGCTGTGCACAAATTTATAAAGGTGCTTCCCACACTACATCAGTGGCTACACTTGAAAAGCACTCAGGAAGGTCAAGGCGGTGAATAGAGTTCTCTCAATGCAAGTCACTATTTCAAATGGACGTGGACTTTTATTTAAAACTATGTTGTGATCAGAAGTTTTTTTTAATTTCATAAATTCTGGCTTGTTAATAAGATTCAAGGTACATGACACACTATTATTTGAGTACTGACTTTTTTAAATAAAAAGGTTACAAATTGAAACTTCTGTATCTGGAATAGCAGCAAACTTGACCAGATTGTGCTTTTTTGTTAAGGTGGTGTTCATTGCAAGAGGAATGTTGGCAAGGACACAGAAAGCCCCCAGCTCTGTGAGCAATACTGCCAGATGCAATAATGTCTTCCTGATTCAGAGGAACAGACACAAAGAACCTCAGGTTTTATGTTTCATCTGACGGATAGCATTTTGAACAATTCAGCTCTCCCTCAGTGCAGCTTTGGAATATCAGTCGAGGTTATGAACTGAAACCTCTTGAGCTGCACAAATCCAAACTCTTCTGACCCAGGAGCACGATTGTGTTGACACACAAAGTAATACATTTCATAAGAATCAACACCAGAAGCATCAGTCTGATGTTATTTTGTAACTTGCTGTGGTGCACACTTAAATCAAAATTTAGAGTGAGGGGGAAAGAAGAAAGAGAATTAAATGTAAACGTAGGAGTGAAAGCTTTAATTGTCAGGAGGATTACAATTTTTGCATGACCGAATGACTAAAATTGCATTTTTATTACAGGAGTTTTATGATCGTTGTGATCTCTTTCCGAAATTCAGCCCATTTATAATTAGAATCCAGTAGTTTATGGTGCTTGAATAAGTAAATTCAGTTTTTATTGCCAGGGACTTGGTATTTTTACTCATGGTTTGAGGATCTTAATCTGCAGTTCTATCCCTCCCTGCAGTGCAAATTAGCAGAGCTGATTATGTGAGATAACTTAATGAATACAATAGAGGCCATAACAACACTCAAGCCAATGACAATATTTAGCCCAAATCATTTTTTAT